TCATCATCATTATCATCAAGAGAATCCTAATCAGGAATTTGAGAAATAATTTGTGCAAGAAAACTGCTGCTTTTCACGTTAAAATGCAGCTAAAACCTTTTACAAAAAAGACTTTCCTCAGTTCATGAGCCGAAAACTCTCTGAGCTTGATACTCCCATTCACTGATATCTGATAAAGAATAAAGAAAAGCATGTATACACTGAGAAGCATTGTATGAATCTGAATGAATGTGCCCTGGACTGGAAAACACTGAGTATTCAAGAAAACCAAACAAATGAGCTAAATGGAGCCCATATGTGAAAACCATTCAAAAACTTTACCAGGCTAGAAATGATGAAGCTAATAAGACAAAACAAACACACAAACAAACCAGCAAGCACCCTGTGAAAATGAGTTGAACAGGGCAACAGTGCACCTTAACTGGTGCTACTTGCTTGTTTCCTTGATAGAGATTTGAACAGCTAAGTTTAATTTAGTTCAGCAGTAACACAAAAGAAAAGGAAAAGTAGSACAGAAAAAACAGGTTAAACAACAAATGGTGGAGCAGATGATCAAAAAAACTAGAGAGCTGAAAATAAAAGAAAAACGAGAAACATGTCGCCTCTCAGAATGAGGTCTTTCTGGGTAGCGTGTGCATGTTCTCCTCATGGGTTTTCACCCACAGGCCACAGCATGCACATTAGTTTAACTGGTAATTCTAAATTGTCCTGATGCATCTCAATAATCAAGCTAGATAAAGCTAAAACAAAAAAAAAGCTGAGTCAGGTCTTCTGGAAGAGTTTGTTGGGACATTTTGTCATTTCTCCAGGAGACGTCTTCGGTCTGAGGAGTTACAGGTAAACCCAGCCTTATAAGCAGGATCTTCTCAATATGTCAAAATTATATTTGTGTTAAATATGAGGCATAATGTGTTCTTTTTCTTTTTGACATTGTTTAATTATCACTACTTTTATAGGGTTCTGTATGTTGTATTCATGATCAAACGCAGCAAAATGAACTATTTCAAAGATAACAGATCTTTGTAATACTTGGTTTATTTACATAATGACTTTAATTGCTGGATGTTCGGCCCCTCAGCTGTTGACCTGCAGTAACTGTGGCCCCCGGAGCAGCCCTGCACTAGTGTAACAGGGGAACAACTGGACAGAGATGGTCTCAAACAAAGTAGCCACTGTTTAAAAGGATGGTCCAGCACAGAAGCACAACATCATCAGGCTAGCACTCTGCAGTCTACACTCATCTACAGGCCAGCGGTCACTCTTTCAGGGATGAAGATGTNCCAATGGAATCTCCCACAGGTTGAAAATCGTGCATGTTGCAGCTGGTCACACAAAATTCAGACAAATATATTTTAAACAAATACAATTGAAAACGCTTTCTGCAATGAGACCCTAACAAAATTGTTTCTTTCCCAGTTCCTATAACTCAGCTGACCTGATGGATGACCTGAAGGATTTATACAGAACAGCCGGTCTGCTGGGCAAAGGAGTCACCTTCATCTTCACAGACAGTGAAATCAAAGATGAGTCCTTCCTGGAATGTATGAACAACGTCCTGTCATCAGGAGAGGTTGGATTTACTTTTATACAATAATAGGTTTCTTGCCCTCAACTTTTTGTTTGTTTCT